TAGATAGATAGATAGATAGATAGATAGATAGATAGATAGATAGATAAGTGTTTGGCTGAAGGGAGCAAGTGGCGAATAAATAAATGTGCCCTGAATGTCCGATGCATATCTAATATTTAAGCTGCACTTTCATTATTGATTTAGAGCTAGTCTGCTGAAAGTAAACTAGTTAAGTAGTACACTGTAAATGCGCCAAGAAAGAAAAACAAACCGGAAATAGTACTAAAGTAAAAAAGACAAATATACAAAAAATAATGCGAGCTTAAATTTTTTAAAATATAGTCAAGATAGCACTGAAATAAATAAATAGTCAACAATGAAAGAAATAGATTACAAAGTAAAGCTAAGCAATCAATCACGTTTTAGCTTCATTCATCCAGCACCACACAATTTGTCTAGCTAAGCGAACCGAGAAGGATGGACTAGCAATGAAAGAGACAAAATGACGGCTGAAAATGGACTTTCACTTGACAACCTCGGAAATAAGCCAAGTACCAAAGTAATCTTTTTGTATTTATAATCTGTCTATCCTAATTGTATTCTTTTTCATATTATGCATTCTTGATAAATTTTCAAGTTAATTTAATTTAATTTAATTTATATTTTATTTTATTTTATTTTATTAATAACAGATGTAGAATTACGCAAGCAAATGAAATATGATTGCACAAAAATTATAATAAAATAAACAAAAATTTAAACATAATGCATTTTTTTAAACTTATAACAAAATGTTTTTAAAAATTTATGCTAAAATTTGCAGCACATAAAACTTTGAGTACTTTCTACTTTTTGCATGCAGCCATGTGTGTACCAGCTTCTTTGTACATATTTGTTTTAATCAATTTAAAATTGTTACAAAGTGATTTTATCACATATCATATCAATTTAATCTTTTCTTTTCTTTTTAATTTCTGAAGAAATTGTAGAATAAATCAGATATTTTTTTTAAATTTATTTTAAGTTTGTATTTTTCAGCAAATACTATCATAAGTGATACAATTTTGTGCGATTGAACAATTATTATTACTGATCACAAAATTAAAACTTGAAATTGAATGCGGTTATTGCAGCCATGGAATACCAAGAAATAATGGCACGGCCATATCTATTGCAATTGATGCGATCATTGTTATGGATAGAATAAGGATTGTTGCGATGGATTGTATGTAGAATAATCCTGATTAATCCATATGTACTGCAATAAGATTCTATTTTATGCATTAATTAAAATAAATTGCTCTTTTCATTTATTTTTGCAAATGTAGTGATGAGAATTATATACAAAGTTTTGTTTTGTACTAAGCATTCTTTTATTTTAATTTGTATTCCCTATTTGCAGGGCTGGTACTGGTGATTTTAAGCAGTATAATGTTCAGATGAGATGGCTGCTGCCGTATTGGCTGCTATGTTTTTTCATGCCTTTACAGTAATCTATTCAAGTGTGCACATTGAAAGGTTTGTCTTCATTGCAATTCTTATTTTTGCTCATTTTTTAAGATTATTTTTCTCAGTTCTTCATATCTGTATCATTATTTTCAGTATCTTTGTCAACTTTTATCAAGTTTCTTTTATCACTGCGGTTTGGTTATTTCGAACTGTATTTTTCACGGTATACTTATAATTATTGTCGATAATTTGGTGACAGCTATGTTTTAGGATAGGCTCTGCATCTGTTTCAAAAAATTGTGATAGCAAACCATGTTATCAGGGTAAATGCGAGAATGAAAAATGCCGGTGTTTTGCAGGTTGGGGTGGTTTGCAGTGTGATCGTTGTCATGGACGAAATATGTAATTTTTTAAAGAAAATTTTATCTTCACTTGATGACTATATTAGTTTCAAAAGTATTATTAAAGTGATATTATTTTTAAATCAATTGTTTTAAGACTAACAGACGAAAACGAGCTGTTGACGGATGGTCCACGTAATTATAGTTCGTCTTCGCGATGTATGTGGATCATTAGGAATGAGAAAAAACGAGGTATCTTACTTTTGCGGATTGAATCGCTTGTTACTGAATGTAGCTGGGACCACTTGTACATTTATGATGGAGCGGGCACGAGAAGTCGTCAATTAGCTGCCTTCAGGTATGACGTCAGTCAGCATCATTTCAGTTTCGTATGTGAAAATCGAATAATTCTAACATAATCATGTAAAATAGATCAATTTTGACAAGAATAATTAACGTTTTGATATTACTACGCCAAAACTTTCTGAAAAGTTTAGACTTTTTGTAGTTTTTTCATCTTCTGATACGATTTGTATTAACTTTAATTTCTTTTTAAAATTAACCCTTATCCATGTTTTCAATTTGTTGCTAAAATATTTTTATAGTGGTGTCATCACGGGTAGAGAAGTGATTATTACATCTGGCAAAGCGCTTATTTATTTCTTCAGTGATCTTGCATTCAACATGTCCGGTTTTAATATTACTTTTTCATATGGCAAATGTCCAGATAATTGCACTTCAAATGGAAAGTGCATAGAGGGCATTTGTGAATGCTATGAAGGATATACCGGAACACAATGTGAAACTTTGATTTGTACTGAGAAGGACAAAAATTTGATATCAAAGGCATGTGGAAATGCAGGAGTTTGTGACCGTGATTATCGGTGTTCTTGTAATATGCATTTTCATGGTATAATCTAAGTTTAAATTAAAGCATTGTTCTTTCACGTCGTTTACTTTCTCATGACATTTGTTTTACATATAACATTTAAAGACATTTACTAATTCGTGAAGTATTTATCACTACATCTATCCCTACCTAATTTGAAAATTTCAACTTTCCATATTCCCATAACTATATAATAATCGGTACGAAGTATTCATTAGAAAATAAGTCAGTTAGTTTTCCAATTCAGTGCTTATAGAAGTTAATTTTTGTACGGAATACTTAATACACGCATGTTTAAAAATTTTAGTTCATCAAAATCTTTATTTAACAGGAGATCGGTGTCAAGCTTTGACAACACAATCTGTTTTTGAATCTGTGAGAACCAGTGGTAGCTTTGAAGCTCGCGCATCACATGCAGCTGTTATTGTGAATGATACAAAGATATGGGTAATTGGTGGAGCCCATTTTACTGGTGCAAACAATTCTTTTGTTTCTGTATTTGATACCGAAAATTCGAAATGGTATGAAGTTGTGACAAAAAATACTCCGAAATCTCGTTACGATCATACGGTTGTAAGATATAAGGTAAAGTATAGGTTGCTGTATTGTTAAATATATTGATTCTTGTGGAGCTTATTGTTTAGCTTTATTTAGTAGTTTTATTTCTAAACTGAGATTAACTGAATTCGTTTTCATTCTATCATTTTCCTTTATCGTTCTCTGTAGAGTACTCTCTATATGTTTGGTGGTGTAATTGATGAACGAGTGGTAACCAATGAACTGTGGAGTTTGGATCTGGGAACTTTAGAATGGACATTAGAAAATGCTAATAATAATGCGTCAGATGCCATACCGAATGCTGTTGCTGGCCATGCTGTTCATTTAATTGGAGATGAAATGCTAGTTTTCTTTGGTCACAATCCTTATTTTGGATACATGTACAACATACAGAAATATAAGATTAGTGAGTGTATTTTTCTGATCACCTCTATATGTTTAAAATTTTGCGATTGTTTTTGGTCCTGAATTCATCTTATGTACTCAAAAATTTTTTTTGGGTTCTAATTTCTCTTGTGTTATCAACTTCTCTTGTGAAAAATCCTTCATGCATGTTTTCTGTAAGACGAAGGAAATTATTTTTCTAGGCACTAAGCGTTGGAGCATTGTTCCTGATAATGGACCTCATATGCAAGGAAGATTCGGTCATTCTCTTGTTGCATATGTTCATGAGAAAAGAGAGGTTATTCTGATTTATGGTGGCTATTTATTGCCATATGAAGGTTTTTTGTCGCGCGTTAGCAGTACACTTATCGAATATGTTTGTGATAGTCGAGAGTGGTAATGTTTTTAAGGAACTGCAAATTTGTGCTTAATAACATCAGTTGTAGCTATACTTTTTTAGTGTTTTTCAAGAGTAGTGAGTCATTAGTATACTATCTTTTAATCCTAGAGCGTCAAAATTCAATTTAAGTGTCTCGTTATATTAGAGAGTGGCAAGCATTGATCTCCTTACTTGAAACTTTAGAAAATATTATATAAGCAGGCTGGATTCAAGTTGAACAGATCCACCCGATCAGTAGATAACTCGAAGAGTTTCTGTTCAAAAATTACTTTGGTGAAGGTGAGCGTAGAATAGTTTTCAAGTGTACTGATTCATTTATTGATCAGAAATAGCGTATTTATAAATGGTCACTCATAGAAAATGCATGAGATTGCGGATTTTGATCATTTTGTCATTTGTCTTTGCTGTTGGTGGTATATAAAAATACTTTGTTTTACAGTTCTCATCGGACTTTGTCTTCTGGATATACTCCTGTTTTTCGTCATTCAGCTTCATTGATCAATGATTTAATGATCGTGGTTGGTGGAAACGTGCATAATGAGTCATCATCACGAATTCAAGAATGCTATTCTAACGATGTCCAGGCGTATGACATAGGTTTGTTTTGATATTGGTTCTTTATTTTTATTTTAATAAGAGTGAAAACATTTTTACTATTTCTCCTTCTCTTTGTGAAGATCATTTATTGGCTTCGTTTTTGATGGCTTCTTTTCCAACTCCTTCTGAAATCTTTCAAAGCAGTCATTAAATTTTAGGTTGCGATACGTGGTTTTCATTGGCAAGCAATTCCGTATCACTTTTACGGCGTTATGGTCATGAATCAGTAGCAACAAAAAACAATATTTTCATAGTTGGTGGCTTCGATGGAGTGATGCTATCAGATGTTGTCAAATTTACTCCAGGTTAGTATCTTGTACATCCTAACTATTTTTTTTTCAATCAAATTTAAGTTTTCATGAATAATGTGATAACGATGTTTTTCAAGTATGATGTAGCTTAAAAATTGACAATTGCAGCAGAATGTGGTGGGTTAAAACGGCCTGATGACTGTCGTAACATGAGAGAAGGCGTACGTTGCATTTTTCATGCTGGTAAATGCAAGTCTGTCCAGCGTGATATTTCATATTCGCATTCGTTTTTGTCATATGTAAAAAATGAAGATCCCAAAGAAGAGCAGAAATGTCCGATTAGCTGGAGAAAGTATGTTTATCACAATTATTCATATCGTTACCACTGATTATTCCTTTCTAAGTAATGGTTTACTCTATTTTCAACTACCTGTAATAAATTCGTGCTTTAAACTGAAATTCGACATTTCATTACACGTTCTTTCGAGATTTACATTCATAAAAGATGGATGGGGGATTTCTAAGACGTTCCTCATATTTTTATTAATGGCTGCAAAGCAAATTTTGAAGTAATAAACCGTTCTATTTCAATGCTTAGATGTTTTAAGTTTTTTGTAATTATTTTTTTTTATAATTCACTTGTGAAAGTGACGAGTATGAAGTTTCGTTTTATTCTTTCCATCACTATGCATAATATTATTAATTGTCTGATAATCGAAATTTTTCCACATTTAACCTCGATTAATGAGCAGGTCTTCATCGTGGTGTAGCGATGAAAAAGACTGTGTAACATGTACCGCTGCAGAAGGTTGTAGTTGGTGTCATTGGAGTCGTGAATGCGTTTCTGATAACTTTTGTAAAGATCGGACAAATCCAGTAACTAAATCGGACGCATGTCCAAAGGATGATGAGCTTCGGCCTTGTTTTTATGCTGCAGAGTGTTATGCCTGCAAATTGTTAAAGCACTGCACTTGGTTTCTTATGAAGGATTCTAAATGGAAATGTATCAATAGTCATGGTATGTGAAACATTCGCTAAGTTTAGTGCTGAAGTCTCAATCTGTTACTTTGGATCTTTTGATTTCTCGTGATTGTATATAGTAATAACAAATGAATATCTATTTTCATCTGGTAGTGCTTTCTTTGTGTTTTTAATTCTAAGATTGAAATAAATTGTATAGAAAATCTGATTTATCTCAGTTATTCGTGCGAAAAACATCCAGATTTATTATTGGATGGCGAGTCACTTCAACAGCAGCATTCTTATTTTCAATCTGATCATTCGTCATCACTTGCCTTGAATGCTTTCAATTCATCTCCAAAGAATGATTCATGCTCGGCACCATGTTGGTTCCATGATGATTGTCAAATGTGTATCAAAGAACAATGCATGTGGTGTCCAACTACTGCTCGATGTGTTTCAATGGATGCATACATGATTAATTTTCCTTATGGACAATGTCAGTCTTGGGTAACGGCCACGAATATAATAAGTAATCAACACGCATGCCAGTTAGGTGATTTTTTCCACAATTTTCACATAGAATTGCATAGAAAGCACCTTAATTTGCAAACATTACCGAGATAAAATTTAGTAATTTTTTTTAGATGCATAAAAAAACTATTTCTTTATTAGCTTTTTGCTGTTCTTCCTCTCTAACGCACTTTTCATTCTATCGACAGACGTTTAGTTTAATTCTATTGAAGACATAGCTCTCTCTGCTACACTTGCTTCTGTTTCTTGTCACAATAAAAGTGTGTTACTTTAAATCATTTGGACAGATGTGCATTTTGATCATAAAACGAATATTTTTATACAGTTTCTTTTAGAGACTTTCCTGCTTTATTTGTAGATTTTTGTGAAACATGAAAACAAAGTTTGTTGTACTGGATAAAGTGGGAGAATGTGGAGTTACTTATGATTAGTTTTGTGCTATAAAATTCTGAGGCAGAATTATTCATCATTATTTAATCTTGGTTATTTGAGTAGATCACTTTGAGACTCTGAATATGCTTTTACGATTTAAGTAAATCAGTTATGTAGTTTGCAGATCCTATGGACTGTTCAAAGCAGAAAACATGTGCTGAATGTCAGCGTGTTGGGCCCAATTGTGGCTGGTGTGATGATGGCTCTGGAACTGGATTAGGAAAATGTTTGCAAGGCAGTCTTGAAGCACCTGATAATGAATCTTCGTGTCCAGATGATGGCAAGTCAAAATGGTATTTTACGAATTGTTCAGGTATGCGGTTTTGATTCGTAATTATTTTATAAACAAGATAATATTCTTTTGTTTGTAAAGAACAGAACAGAATACAGAAACCTCGTAGCTACCTATTTATTTTTCGTTAGCTATTTGTTATGTGGAATCTATGAGCTGAAAATTTGCCTTTGGTTATTAACAACTTTCATAATTAAGACGTATAATTAAATATTTTTATAATTAGAACATGGTAAATAGCATATAATAAAGCAAACTAAATAAAATGGAGGTCTAAAATTCATTACCTTCAGCGACAACGACTGATTCGTTTCTTTGACAGCTTTTACATTCAATTAGAAAATAAACTTGGAAAGTTAATTTTGAAAATAATTTACAGCAGCAGTTACCTGCTGTTTACTTTCATTTCATACTGTTTGTATACTTCTTATTACTGTACTAGTCAGTCTCTTGTTTGCGGGATCTCTTCTTTTGTTATGATTTGAACCGAAATTTTATTATAAGTATCTGTAAGACGTACATGATATTTCTGATAGTTATGAACATTTATATCCCGTAGGGTAAGAATATTCATGGCTGAATACATGTATGAATGTTTTAAGATGTACATAATTTTTTTTGTAAAATTTATATTTTTAAGCTTGTCAGTGCAATGGACACAGTAATTGTACCCTGAAAAGACGATCTCTTGAATGGAATATCGAAGAGCAGAACTGTACACAGTGTGATCACAACACAACTGGTGAACATTGTCAGTACTGTGCAGATGGATTTTATGGAGATCCGAGAAATGGCGGCAAATGTGAAGGTTGCTTTAACACAAGTTTCAGTGTTTCCTTATGTCTTAATAATTCGGTAATTATATGGTTCTTTATATGTTCAATGTTTCCTGTGTACTGTAATGCAAAAATTTTTAAATTGAATAATTTAGAGTTAAATAATGCTTTTGTAAAAATAGCAAATGCGGTTCCAGAAAGATTTTGCGACATAACTATTTTTTTGTTTTGACACTTGTAATCTTTGATGTCTAAAGAAATCTTGTTTTTAGTCAAGACACTCGTACATGTTTCTAGAATGTTTTTGCAATGGACAAGCCACAACATGCAATAGAGAAACAGGTGATTGTTACTGTACTACGAAAGGTGTGACTGGGAAAAATTGCAGTAAATGTGAACCAAAGTATTACGGTGATCCTGAAAACAACCAACTATGCTACTGTAAGTTGATTAGAATCTCATTACTGATACATTCTGCTAACATTTTGTTGAACTTGATAATTAAAGCATGTTCCAAACATGTACAATTTGATTTTATGGAAGAAATAAGATTAGTCATTTTATATATGTCTGTTATTGTTTCCGATTACTGCATTTATACTGAAGATTAGTCATTTTCTTTGAACTTAATAGTTATTTATTTACGAAAAGTGTAAATATTTGGGTGCAATCAGCAGATTTATCTTTTTAAATGAAGAGTAATATTTTCTAGATGAATTGACGGTGGATTTTATTTTTACATTCAAGCTTGATCAGGACGATCCAAAAGACAAATACGTGAATCAAATCAATTTCTTCAGCACTCCGCATAAAGTAATGTGTATTGTTGAATACAACCTGTATTTTTAATTGTCATTAATTAACTAAGAGTCAAATTAGTACACTTTGTATTTAAATATATTTTATGTTTGGTACTAAG